TTGGGAGACAAGCCGGCAGCGGCAGCCAAGAGCGAAATCATGAAGGGAGACAAGCTTGATAAACAAAATGGCAGCGGCAGCCAATTTCCGCAATCCGGAACCCATCCATTGAGAAGTATGAACCCCTATAGCTTCCAGCTATCTGGGGATAAAAGGACAAGCGAAAAAGTTAAACTAAAAGAAACAAAATAAACAAAATGAAACAAAAAAACACGCAATAATAGTAATTTAATAGTGTTAATATATATTATATATATAACTATAGTATAAAACAACAAAAAAATGATTAAAACTAAAGTGCAAAACTCAAGCTGCATCTGGGTTCCTGTAACGACAGTGGGCAGGTGAGTCGCCACTGGAGGCTCTGCAATCTGTGTTATGTTTTTGAGTCTTAGCCGGTCTTTCTGAGTCTGGACGGTTTTTGAGTCCGGACTGTAAAGAGCGACAAAAAAAAAACTAAAAAGAAGCAGACTCAAAGAACAAAACACGCCCCTGTCGCTGCAGGAACCTAGATCCCAGCTTGAGTTTTGCACCTTAGTTTTACTTTGACTTTTGGTTGTTTTTTATTGAGTTTCGATTTGTCTTTGTGTTATTTTGTCTGGTTCTGAGTCCGCCTTTCTGTTTTTTTCTTCTGGTGAATCTGGTGGTGATTCACGTTGGTTTTCTTTCTACGTAATAGGAGCTGCTGGTCTCTAGCACTCACACTTCTAGGCTGTGGCATTCCAACAGTATGTTGGACGTGTGCTAGGTTTCAGTCGGACTTCCTTGGGCGCATTTACAGCGATTACTATATATATATATATTACTGTAATATTAATACAGTATATATATATATATTTGTTCTGGCAGAGATAGTGGTTGTCTGCTGCAGTTCCGACTCCTTTCTGGCTCTTAGACATGGCTGCGGCTGCTGTTGCCACCACCGCCGCTGCGGCCGCACATACTGTTGCAGCTCTTACAACTGGATTTGCTTGCTCGGCAATGCAAGCTCGTATACTGTGGCTACTAGCCAGTCAGCTGATTTGGGTGGTTGCTAATCCAGCAGTCGCTGCTTCTGCGTGGTTGGCTGAATTCCTATTGGCGGCAGAGTTACTCATCCCCCAATTCATGTTCCGTGTAGAGGCTCTTGCTTGCAGTGAGACTTATTGCGTGGATTGCTGGATACCTTTGCCGCAATTCCAGTCTCCAGCCCCAAGTGTGTTGTTCTCACGAGGTGAAGTGAATCTTTACGCTCGAACAGTTTCAACTGTCGAACACTGGGCACCAGGCGGATGGTTGTAGGATGGCCAGCCCATCCTCTTTTCAAACGTCTGCTCACGGCCTGTTTCGGATCTGATCAAAGAATAACCAATTCTTCCACTTCTCACTCTGTCTCGACCTCAAGTGCCTGAATTGCTTGCACATTGAACTATTGAGTAGTAACTACTGCTATTCTCTCACTCAAATGTCTGAGCATGAAATTGGCGGCACAACCAGCCTCTTGGAGGATGACCAGCCCCGTTCCAAGCGGCGAATAATGGCTCCATCCTCAGAGCCGGTGAACCGAGGATGGTCGACACCAGGTCAAGGCCAACTCAGATTCTTAGCTGCCAGCCTATCTTCATTCGTGCCATGCTCCTGCATGTCAAGTCAAAAGTTATAAGACATCAGCAAGGACTATATAGTACAAACCGCGACTTCCCTCAATCAAAAACTGCTGAACCCTCTGAATGTCATTTGCACAGAACCCTTTGGACCAAAAAGTTCAACATCTCCTTCTTTTGCTTTCTCTGGTTGACCTTCGACAGTGAGCCCGCCCAGGGGTAGCGTTCTGTCAACTTAGTCGCCGCAAATGCTGTGCAATTCCGCCCAACTGAAGAGCTGAAAAGCATGAAAAGGACGTGTCGGGGCTTCTGATTCAACTGTGGGGCTCCACACTGAAAGGATTCAACAAAGGGCATCGCTACTAGGAGCAAGGACGCTAATAGGGGCTCCTGGCCTTACTACTAGGAGCAAGGACGCTACTAGGAGCAAAGGGCATCGCTACTAGGAACAAGGACGCTACTAGAGGCTCCTTTGGTTTTATTGAAAGAGAAATCGCTAAGTCAGAGGCTGGAACTTTCATCACTGGCTCCAAAGGCTCCTCGGAACAACGAGGACCCGGCAGCATGGGAAAGCAAGTCGACACAAACTCATTCGGTCCTAGGGCTATATGGCTTATCACTGGTTTTCACCCTCACAACAGGGTGTTCACCCAATATCACGGGAACTTCCTTGTCCAATGGTTGTTCCGTTGCTCCATTGCATGACACGCTGCAGAAATCGAGTCGACACATGTGAAGCATCTTGACCAGTTTCAGCAAAGGGATTTAGTTCAGGGCATTTACTGCAGGCCAGGAGCATCAGGCTCGCTGACGATGGTGTATGTTGGAACTTTACTGTAGACTTCCTGAAGCAGGCATGCTTCTAGATGCTCCCACTCTTGGACGACACAAATGTACTGGACAACAACTGCCTCCAGAATGTCGTACAAGGGATACCTGGCAGAAAGGTAGACTTGGCATGTGGGGACCAAACGAAATTGAGGCAATCTGCTCTGCCTGCTCAGCTCAATGTCACACGAGGGGTCACGATTTACTGCTGTTATGCAGGTCTGGGGCTAGTGAGCTAGCCTACTCATGTCCACCCTCATGCAATCATTAGCCCAGATACATGGCTACTTGCTACTCTTTGATCAACCTCATGCGTCCTCAGGTTTGCCCGCGGGATCTCCCGAAGATCTCCCGACATTCGTTGCCAACGGTGCCTCCGTGGAAGCTGTCTAGCGCCGTATGAACCTGACCCACTGCAGGAGCCATCCTTTTGCGGTATTTTGGTTTGCAGCTGCACAAGTTCTTGTCAATTCTGCCGATCACCCGGTTAGTCACTTTGAGTTTTCACATATTGCCACCGGCTTGAAACGGGTTGCCAATCGTTGTGGACAAGGAATCAATGCCAGAGTTATGAATCCTTGACTCTAGTATACACTCACTCCTGAACTCTCGTCCAAATCCAAAATCCGCTCTTCCCGGCTTGTTCTTCAAAGCCGGCCGGGCTGCCGAGCCATACTTCTTTCTCGAGCGCCAGCGGGCAGCTCTCTTGGCGCCTTTCACCTGCTTGACAACACCCCAAGGAGGTCGAGGCAGCGCTCGGAGCGAGCAATTCACTCTGGTGAAACCCTCAGCCACTGCCTGGGGCTTGCCGTACTGGGAGCGGTCACCGTAGACATTTCGGCCCTGTTGACCTGAATTCTGTCACGAAAAAGAAAAGGTGTTTTGCTAGTAGAAACAATAAGCTACTAGTAACAAGTGCATCGCTTCTAGTAGCAAGTGCCTTACTAGTCGTAACAAGAAGCTAGTAGAAACAATAAGCTACTAGTATTCTTTGTCATACAGAACCTTCATGTGCTTCAAGCATCAACACTTCTTACATGCCGAGGACAGCTCCTTGACTGTGCATGATGACGGCCGAGGCCTGAGCGCCACAAAATAGATTACGGTATGAATGCTGCCATTCTAAACACACTCGACGGGCGTTGTATTTTCTGTATTTCCCAGCCAACAACCGTGAAAAGAGTGATGGAGCAACATTCAGGCCGTGGCCTCTCTAGCATGTCCTCTGTCAATAGAGTGAGGCGAAGATGCCTCAGAGATCGCTCGCAAACCTTCAATCCATTGGTGACAATTGCGCAGAAGATTGTCACAGGCCGAACACCAAGGTCTCCGATGCAACAGTGTCGGCGCTGTGGCTCGACACTGAGACAAGCGAACGAACCGTCCTGGACCGAGACACGACCGGTTTCAGCTTCCCTGAGAGTCCAACGAGAGGCACTCCAGCAAAGGCACCAGTCTCGGAGCCTGGGCTTTTCAAGGCGCCAAGTTTGGCCCGGTCAGGTGAAAACTCTTAGGAGCAAAGGGCATCGCTACTAGGGGCTCGTGGCATCGCTACTATGAGCAAGGACGCTATTCGGGGCTCCTGGCCGTACTACTAGGAGTAAGGAAGCTACTAGGAGCAAAGAGGGCATCGCTAAACTAGGAGCCCACGGCCAACCACTGGCCAAACGGCAATGGTTGACTGTTTGGTGAATTTCCCTCTCCCCGGGCCCAGTCTGGGTGCTGGTGCTGCTTGAAGAAAAGAAGACATATGCGCAGCCTGTGCATCAAGCAGAAGTGGTGCTTTTCTCTGCTAAGCCTAAGCAGCGATCCTGCCTGCCAGCAGGCAGGCCGCCAAACTCTGGGCGTGCCCTCGTACCATGGTTCAGCCCGCAGAATGTGAGCACTCTGTGGGCTGCAGAAAATTCACATCCAAACTGCTTTGAGACAGTTCAAAACGTCAAACTGCACGACCGATCAATTTCACGTCTGGGAGACCTTTTGGCGACAGGGTGAACGGCGCAGCCGCTCCGGAGAGGTGCACTCTCTGCGCTCTGACAATGACCCGAGATGCATCCAAACAGTCTTGTTAAAGAATCTGTTGAATCAGGAAAAACGACTGAACTGTGGACTCGGACACTTATTCATCTCAGGCCACTGGACTGTTCCTATATACAGTGCTCATGCGATTTGCAGGAGCCATTTTCGTCAGCCATCGCGCGCTAACCTGCTTGCCGATCGTTGATCCTAAAAAGAATGTATCGATAGCATTTTTTGGAGAGAGTGAACAACTGGACCCACGTCTGAAAGACTGCTGTCATCTACTGTCGTGACAGCATGTTCACCCACTCAGGATAGTTGTGTCAGAGTTTGGAAAATGGACACAAAACCCTGGCCCTAAACACTGGCTTTCAGCAAACCTCCATAGAGAAACCATACTGGGAGTACTAGCAGTTCCCGTCTTAACTCCTCCACCACATGACCTCCACACACCTCCATTTGCACATGCAACTCCTGATGCTTCTTTCGATCCTCTAAGTACGGGGAAAAAAGAATCGATTCACCGCAAACTGAGCAGCTCCTGGCTCTCTGGCTAGCTATCATGTGTTCCCAGCCTGTCGACACAAACAGCAGCTACATCAAGCCTTGGAATTTCAAGATCTCTGCTGAATCAAATCCTAGGGCCATGTTCTCCTCTTCATCCCACTGGGCAAGGTGCTACCTTCAGGCTCTTGGCTCTGGTCTTGCCCTTGGCCTCTGGACAAAGTGAGTCAAAACAAGTGCTGGTGTTCTGGGCCTTCTCTCAGAAGCCACACAAACACCAACCAACCAACCAACCGACCCGACCCGACCCGACCCGACCCGACCCGACCCGACCCGACCC